TACAGCCAACCCGTGGGCATTGGAACGCGCGTCTACAACCCTCGACAAGAACGAACCTCAGAAACGGTTGACACCCCCCTGCAATGTCGCCGCCCTCCACGCCTTTCATGTCGCCCACCTTCAGTGTCGAAGCGGGGCGAAACGCGGCCTGAGTGGGTGTGCCTCGGAAGTTCCAGTGGCACACAGAACAGTGGAAAGCACTTGGCACACCGTGTCGCCCAAACCCAGAACATCACATCGACAGGGAAACGGCGCAACCCACGATTGACCTGCTCCTGCTGCTCCTGCTGCTCCTCCTCCTCCTCCTCCTCCTCCTCCTCCTCCTCCTCCTCCTCCTCCTCCTCCTCCCTCCTCCTCCTCCTCCTCCTCCTCCTCCTCCCTCCTCCTCCCTCCCTCCTCCCTCCTCTCCTCCTCCTCTCCTCCTCCTCCTCCTCCTCCTCCTCCTCCTCCTCCTCCTCCTCCTCCTCCTCCTCCCTCCTCCTCCTCCTCTCCTCCTCCTCCTCCTCCTCTCCCCTCCTCCCCTCCTCCCCCTCCCCCTCCCCTCCTCCCCCCTCCTCCTCCCCATTTTGCCGAGGGTAAAAGGACACGAGCTCCTTCGCCGAAGGCCTCAGGCTCCACGCAGGTGCCCTGGACACACACGCATTTCGAGGTGGAGCGCCCAAGGGCGAGGAACATGAGGGCACCACCTTATCGTCATCCCCTCCACAGCCCCTCCCCGGTCGTGCCCGCTATCGCCGGGGGATGAACAGGCGCTCTCCAGGCTTGGACAGCGTGCCCACTGTCCCCGCACCCTCTTCGGGCGTGCCAGTGGTCTGGTCATCCAGCGTCGATCCTCCCCCCCTCTACCCCCTGTCCTCCCCAGCGATAACCCTATCCCCCCGTCGCCCCCCCCCTAACGTTGCCTCTAACCTTTGCTGCTCCGCAGCGTGCCCATCGTTTCCGTAACCACGCAGGGAGTGCCAACGGCCCGCGCATCCCGCGTCGATCCTCCCATCCGCCACCAATCCCCCCCTATCCTCCCCAGCGATGACCCTTTCCCCCACCCTCAACATCTAACATTACCCCTGACTTTTGCTGCTCGGCAGCGTGCCCGTCGGTTCCGTGCCCACTTCGTTCGGTGGCGACTCACGGGAGCCTCATATGGAATCTTGCTGGCTCTCGCAGATCGACGCTAACCGATGCTTGTCGACGCGAATCGATGCTCATCGACGCTAACCCGACGCTGAGTCGGCGCTTTCTTATCGATCACCAGACGCCAGCGCACGCCAATGCACGCCAAAGACGAAATTGCGCGGCCACGCAAGGCTCCCACTGTCTGCTGCCGAAGCTTCGGGCGCGCCAGACGCCCGAGCATCCGGCGTCGGTCCCCCCTATCCCCCCTATCCCGCCCTATCCCCCCCACTGTCCGGCCCTGTCCGCCCCCATCCTCCCCAACGATCGCCCTATCCCGCTATATCCCCCCCAACGATAACCTCAGTCCCCCCCCCCTTCCTGGGGAAACCAAAAAGTACCGATACCGCTTCTCCCTGGACCTCTTCGGGGGTGCGTTCAGACCAGGATTTCGATGCGAATCCAGCGGTGGCGGCGAGGGCCTCCCAGGAGGCCCGAACAAAAGGAACACGAGTGAAGGGTAGCGGTATGGGTACAGTTTTTCCTCCCCTGATCCCCACCCAACGTTGCCCCTGACATGAGTTGCTCGGCATCGTGCCGATCGTCTCCGCGCCAGCGGCACGAGCATCCAGCGTCGAGCCTCCTCCCCCCTCCCCGCCCAGCGTTTCCATACCGCGTCGGGCGTGCCAACGGCCCGAGCATCCCGCGTTGATCCTCCCCTCCGCCACCGATCCCCTCCCTCGTCCTCCCCAGTGATGACCCGTTCCCCCACCCTCCACACCCAGCCTTGCCCCTGACTCGTGCTGCTCGGCAGCGTGCCCTCTGTTTCCCGTGCCGGCGGCACGAGCATCCTATCGTCGAGCCTCCTCCCCCCTCCCCTGCCGGCCGGCGGCGCGGGACCAGGGTTGTAGATGCCATGACAATGGAGACTCTAATAATCCCATCATTGAATTAAAGATGTGTTTTAAATGTATCAAGCAAGTTCTAAAATGTTTCAAACCTGTTGTTTACATCTTCAAAACATGTTTGAAACATGCTTTAGACATCTGGAAATCATTTAGCAGCATGCTTCCTCTCCATTGATCGTCCTCCACAAGACCAGGGCCCGGGCCTGCTCCTCCGCGGCGCGGGTCTTCGCGACCTGCCAAGTCGTCGTCGTCGCAGCCGTCGTCGTCGTCGTCGCCGTCGTCGTCGCCGCCGCCGCCGTCGCCAGCAATGCCGACCCCCCGCCCCGTTCGTGACTTTCGGTGGCAACTCATGGGAGCCTCCCATACCATCGTGTCGGCTCTTGCGAATCGACGCCAATCAACGCTGATCGACGCTAATCGACGCTAAGTCGGCGCGATCTCATCGACTCCCAGACGCTAATCGACGCGAACCGACGATAAAGACGAAATAAAGAGGGCATACCAGGCTCCCATGAATTGCTACCGAACCCCCTCGCGACTGCCCACCAGACCACCCCGAATCAACCCGAAGACCCAGATTTCGGTTTGGGGGGGTACGGGCTCCATACGTGTTTTTCTCTGTCTCTGATGTTCCCGGACGCCCCGCCCCCCACCTCGCCGTCGCTCGGACGTCCATTCCCCGTGCATTGTTCGGCCTCGCGCGTCTTTTCTCGCAAGATGCTCCAAAATGCTCCTCGACAATTCTCGCCGAGAAAAGAATGCACACGTCCGAGCGACGCCAAGCCACTGGGAACGGAGGGCGCACTGGGGCCTGCGGGTTGGGGTGGCCTGGTGGCCTGGTGAGCTCGGGCGGCGCGCGGGGGAACGAGGCGGGCACGCGCCCGTGGCCGTGCGGGAGAACGTCCCCTGACATCTGGCCAGGGCTCGACCAAGCCCGTGTTTGTCGTTTTCTCGTTGTTTTCGTGCTTCCTGGTTTTGCTTCAAATTCGTCTCTGCTGCAAAACGACATCGAAACGAAACGGGCCCACAAAATTGCCAAGAGACAATTTGGGTCGACCCCTGCATCTGGCGTCTCAAAAAATCAAGGCGGAAGTTGTTTGTAGTCTGCGGCCTCTCGGGGCCCTCACCGGGCCTCGGGACCGTCCAAATATGGCTCGGAATGGAAAACTGATCCCGGGGAAGTGGTCGAGAGGTCGGGGGCTTCAGCCTAGGACTGAGCCAGATTGGGCGGGATCAAGCGGAACTCAAAGGGATTATGCTGGACCAGGTCGGTCTTCGACCACAGAACTGCTAGGGCAGCGCAGCGATGGGCTCCGAGGGAGCTGCTTGAGTGCCAGTGGAACCGCCTGAGCACTGCCCTGACCGATCAGCCGTTGAACTGGAACTGCCGCCTCAAGGCCACAATGAGTCAGGTCAGTACCCGGGCCTCCCGGACATCACCCGCAAAAACTCGGCCGACCCGCATGATGAGACGAGACTCCCGAGATGACCACGAGAAGCTCCCAGAAGGATCCCGAGTGGGATGCGGAGGGAACTGCTGGTCCGATGTGCCATCCCTGGAGGCGTGACGACCAGATCCGAAGGACAACCATCTTTCGGCGTTAGGGGGCCACATGCGAGACCTACCCCTACCCCCCACGATTTCTGAGGGGGAGGGTGGGGGTCACTTCGCTCGGGAGCTCCCGAGTGAAGTGAACCCTGCCCTGCCCCTCAGAAATCGTGGGGGGTAGGGGTAGGTCTCGCACGTGGCCCCCTAGGTGTGTCGTCGGCCCAGCGGTGTGACCAGAACGCGCCCGCCACCGAGCAACATGCTATGCGGCTTCTGAGCCCGCGCGTCGCCCCCCTGGGGGGGCGACGCACACCTCGTGTCAGCAGGTTCGGGTGGCGCCGACCAGGAGGCCCCCGGTCCCGAGAGGCCCTCGCCCCGCGGTGCTCCCGACCGCGCTCCTGTTGCGCCCGGCGCGCGCACGACCTGGGCACGGTGGCCGAAGGCCTCTCGACCTGCCACCGCTGTGGCCTGCCAGGCCCGAGCTGGATCGGACCGCGAGCTAGGATCGGATCGAAAGCGGATCGGATCGCCAGCGAATCGCCTCACATCGAAGCGAGATCGGGTCGCCGCGAGACGGCCGACGCGGGCCAACCGAACCGAATCGACAGGAATCAGAATCGCAAGCCCAAACAACGGGTAAACCGGTAAATAGTAGGAGGAGGAGGAGGAGGAGGAGGAGGAGGAGGAGGAGGGAGGAGGGAGGAGAGGAGGAGGAGGAGGAGGGGAGAGGAGGAGGAGGAGGAGGAGGAGGAGGAGTGAGGAGGAGCGAGGAGCGAGGAGGAGCGAGGAGGAGGGGGAGCGAGGAGCGACTAAGAGCGAGGAGGAGGAGGAGGAGGAGGACCGCGAATCGAGCCAGATCGTAGGCAGCCCTGTCTGTCAAGAGGACCGTTGGCGTGCCACGGATTATGATTGTCTGGCGCCTCTGTAGGGTTCCCAGCCCTCTGCGGCCCTAACCCGCTGGCCCTCCTCCTCCTCCTTTTCCTCCTCCTCCTCCTCCTCCCCTCCTTCCTCTTCTCATCCTCCTCCTCCTCCTCCTCTCCTCCTCCTCCTCCTCCTCCTCCTCCTTCCTCCTCCTACCTCCTCCTCCTCCTCCTCCTCCTCCTCCTCATCCTCTCCTCCTCCTCCTCCTCCCTCCTCCTCCTCCTCCTCCTCCTCCCTCCTCCTCCTCCTCCTCCTCCTCCTCCTCCTCCTCCTCCTCCTCCTCCTCCTCCTCCTCCTCCTCCTCCTCCTCCTCCTCCTCCCCGTCCCCCCCCCCCCGCCTACCACACACCGCGTCAAAGATCAAGGAAACGTGCTGCCAAGATTGCCGAGATGGCCTCAGGCGGTCTCCAAGACTGTCCCGAAGGTGGTTCAAGGGAGTCCCAGAATTTGCCACGTCGGCGCTTCCAGAAAGAGAGGGGCGGGCGGCGGTGACTCGCCGTAGGCGTCTTCGATAAAGTGTACAGCCCCTTGAAGCTGCTACATGCTGCCCCACGCCGCGTTGCCAGAATGACTGGAGCAGCTGCTGAGTGACGGCCCAGCAGGTAAAAGGTTGCGCACGGGCTTGGGCTGCTGAAGTGGGCACGCAGCACCAAGAAGCTACTACAGCAGCGCAGCGCAGTACAGAGGCATGCAGGGTCCCGAAGGGGTTGGCGGTGTGGCGTAAGCCATTATACGCTCTATATGTTTGTGGTTATCTCTCTCTCTCTCTCTTTACAAGCGAGGCCTCCTTTGATATGAACACACAGCCATGCATAATGTGAGCTGGGAAAAAGCAGGGCGGATATGGACGGGGGATGGATCGCTAGAGCGTGTTAGGAAGGAGGAGCGGCAAAACTCGACGACGTAATTGAAGAGGGGGTTATTTCACATTTCCAGCATCACAATACTGCAATCCGACGGAAAGGATCAAGAGAAATGTGAAATCGAATGTGCACGATCGAACAAGGTAAAGTCGTTTTAGCGAATGCTGAGAAGTAAAGTGCACTCCTCAGCCCGGTAATTGCATCCACCACTTCACGCGCTGAATTGTGCGCTGCCCAGGACTCGGCAGACCAGAAAATAATACCACACGTGGACGGTCAAAACCATCCTTGTCGCAATGTACCATCAGCTACGTTGCATCAAGCATGGCGATCAGCGGGCTCATAACAATATGCACGGTGTTAAGGGAGACAACGGCATCAAGAGACTGGAAATCGTTCTCGCGTTGGCGGATGTCTTACAGAGAAGGGGCGTGGTCGAGTGAAAACCCAGCAAGACTTCAACGGTTCTCATGTCCTGTGCCTACCCAAGTTCGTGGATCGATATATATATATATATATATATGTATATATATAATGTATGTATACGCATGTTGTTGTGCCACGCCATATGCCTTTGCCATGCCGCACATGTGCCCGGCAAAGACTGATCGCGCCCAGGCCCATCTGAAGAAGTCGGGGAGCTGCGCAGTAGCATCTGACAACTGTTAATAGCAAGAGGACCAAACATCGCAATCCTCATAGTCGTGTTCTCCCTCGCACCACGCATAGTCTAGCAACCCGTGTGTGGTCCCCCGTTCCCCCAAACATGCACAAACACAACTCGATGCTTACGAGACAGTGCAACGACAGATCGTGAAATGCTTCGGGCCATCTTCAGGACTGGGTCCCTGCTCGTGCGCGAAATCATCCCATGAAGAAGACGCTGTTATGGTGTCTTGCGCGGCTCTTAGTGAACCGAACCCACCTGGATGCCGGTGGGAGCCTCATGGATTCGCCGAGCGCTCCACTACTGGCAAATTGCATACTCGCAAACGTCCGAAAAACACGTGTCTCCTTTGATGCAATTTATCGTAGATCCCCCGCAGGGGGATCCAGGCCATTTGCGAGTAGTTACTTTGCGAGTAGTGGAACGCGCTCGTCGGTGGATGCGTTCGGGAACCTCTCGGGGGGTCATTGGGACCTCTCGGGCCGTCTCAGCACTGCCTGTTGTAGTAGCTGTTTGTTTCTGGTCCCGGTCCGATTCGACAATGCCAGCACGCTCCCCATCTGACAGCACCTTTGTCTGCCGAGGGGAGCAGTAGCCATAGCGCATGCGTCGAAAAGGGTCTCTTTTCGAAGCCTACGCTGATGGAGCATGCGAGAGGCCTGGATTACCACGCTCCCCTGGCCTCCCATGGATGCGAGCCAACACATACATCGCCCGCCTGTGTTCGCGCTTCGCGCATGCAGGCTGACGGCAAGATCAACAGACTCTCACGATTAACAAGTGAGGCCGCGCATGGTCTATACACGGTCCGCAACCGTGCCCACTGGCACGTTGAGGCGTACTGTGATGCCAAGTGCTGTCTGGTAGGGATTCTGCATTATTTTGGCCTCCTCCTCCTCCTCAGCCTCCTCAGCCTCCTCCTCCTCCTCCTCCTCCTCCTCCTCCTCCTCAGTCTCCTCAGCCTCCTCAGCCTCCTCCTCCTCCTCCTCCTCCGCATCCTCCTCCTCCTCTCCTCCTCCTCCTCCTCCTCCTCCTCCTCCTCCTCCTCCTCCTCCTCCTCCTCCTCCTCCTCCACCCCCCCACACCTCGAGGCGCTGGCCCGCGCGCATCGACCCCCCCCTCCCCGCGGCTCTGTCGGCGCCAAGGCACCAGGCGTCGAGGACGACCAAGATGCTGTCCAAGATGGCCCAGGCAGGCCGCAGAGGCCGCCCGGATGGCGGAAGATGTCTCCAAGACAGCCCAAGATGGCTTCGGGACTGCCCGAGAGGCTGTCCAGACGGCTCCACGAGAAGTCTTGGCAGGGCCCAAGAGGCCAAAATCATGTATGTTCCTTAGGTTTGCTGAGGTTGTTGACACGTTTGCCCTTTCGGGCTTCCGTCGGCTCAAGATGGCCCGAAAAGGCCTCCAGGATGGCCCCACGACGGCCCCGACAGGGCCGCAAGCTGGCCCCAGAAATCTCCAGGGCGGCCTCGAGACATAGCCCCCCTGCACTGACTACCCACCAGACCACCCCAACCCAACCCGAAGACACCAATTTCGGGTTGGCGGGGTGGTTTTTGAATGTTCCCCGACCCCCCCCCCACTGGAAATCGAGGATAAATTTAGGCCTTCGGGTTGGGTTGGGGTGGTTTGGTGGGTGGTGATGCACTGCCCGGGAGGGCCGGAGAAAGCATCAAGCTGACCCAAGAGGACCTCAAGCTGGCCCACGAGGGACCCGAGACGGCCTAAGATGCCCCCCTGGACGGCGCAAGACGGCCCCAAGAAACCCCCCAGACGGCAACGAAAGGACTCCAGGAGAGCCCGGACCCACGAGGGCACGGAGACGGCCCCGAGGCACCCCCGAGGCTGCCCTACAGGAGCCAAGGCCAGCACCCAGTCAGACCAAGTCATGTTCATGAGAGCTCGTCGAGAAGTGAAGACAAAAAAGTTTCGCACGGGAAAGCTCTCCTCCGCGTTCTCCTCCTCGCCCTCTTTATCATCATAGTCAATATCATTATCCCCACCGTCCTTGCCCTCGTCTTCATCATCACTATCGACGTCATAGCACCATCATCATCATCATCATCATCATCATCATCATCATCATCATCATCATCATCATCATCATCATCATCATCATCATCATCATCATCATCATCATCATCAGCATCACCATGATCGTCGCCATTCTGAGCAGCGTCTGCAGGTCCTTCCTTCGCTTCATGGTCCTATTCCGCTCAACGAGTGAATCAGGACAATGCAACATGGGCTAGAAACGGCGGAAATGTCCCAGAAGATGCCTGTCGGCGTTGCCTGAGCGTTCGCCGCAGAGAGCCCTGGGAGAGGCCAAGAATACCCAAAGTCAAGCGATCTGTCACATGCGACGGTTTCCTGGGCTTGCTCCAACCGTCACGCAGTGAGGGCATCTATGGCCGCTCGAGGTGTCACGCGTTGGGGCCTCCCGTCTCCCCCGCGTAAGAAACACCGAGAACACTGTGCTGGCACGGTAGCGGGACTTGCCGCAGGCAGCTGGATACTGCGCAAAGAACCTGCTAATTATGGCAACTCACTGCGGGCACCCCTTCTTCTCGTTGGTGCAGCACCACCCCTTTTTGTCTTCGCTCCATCCAGCCTCCCAGTTGGAATAACCTGCGTCACAATCATAAGGATTGGATGACACTTCTGGGCAACCCATCTGCTTGCTCGCACAACACCACTCCTTCTTGTCCTGGGACCAGCCGGCTTCCCAGTTCGAGTACCCAGCGTTGCAATCATACGGCAAAGACGACGTCTCTGGGCACCCCTTCTGCTCGTTGTCACAACACCAAGCCTTCTTGTCCTCGGACCATCCTGCCTGCCAATTCGAGTACCCAGCCGCGCAGTCGTAGGGCTGAGACGGCGCCCCGCAGCCGATGTGCTTGTTGGAGCAGCACCAGCCTTTCTTGTCCGCAGACCACCCCGCTTCCCAATTCGAGTAGCCGGCGCCGCAGTCGTAAGGCTCGGACGGCGCCACAGGCGCCAGCGGCGGCGGCGGCGGCGCCACAGGAGCCAGCGGCGGCGGGGGCGGCGCCACAGGAGCCGGCGGAGGTGGGGGCGGCGGAGGGGGCGGCGGCGGAGCCACGGGCGCCGGCGGGGGGGGCGGTGGCGGGGGAGGCGGCGGCGGCGTCGTAGGGCACCCCCTGCCTGCCTGCAAGCAGCAGGTGACCTTCTTGGAGACCTCCCAAGATAGCGGATCGCCCTCCGCGCAGTCGACCTTTGCCTCCGTGGTCGTCACTGGCGGTGGCGGCGGGGGCGGCGGTGGCGGGGGAGGCGGAGGCGGCGGCGGGGGCGGCGGGGGCGGGGGCGGAGGCGCCTTGGTGGTGGTGGTTTTCTTGGTCGTCGTGGTCGCCGGAACATCCGGCGGAGGCGTCATTGCCAGCAACGGTGGCGGAGTAGTGAGGAGAACCGTGGTGGTCGTCGTCGTGCTAGTGGATCCCGTCAGGAACCAGAACAGCAGCGGGAGCAACAGCAGCGACAGTAGCAAGGGGATGAGGCAGAAGCAAAGGCAGTTGGGGCGACGGTGAGGTAGGGGCAATATACTCGAGATAATCGTCTCCGAACGTACTTCTGGGCCGCTGGCCCCCATGCCAACATACTTGTACGTTGTCTCCTGCACGTAGTCGCCATGTGGCCCCACGTAAGTTTGGGTCTGGGGCGGGCCGCCACCCGCGAGGCCGTAGCCACCGGCGCCGCCGTAGCCGTAGCCCGCCGAACCGCCGCAACAACCCGCGTCGCCGCCGTACGCGCCGCTGTAACCTGCGCCACTGCCACAGCAGCCCACGTCGCCGCCATACGCGCCGCGGTGACTCATGCCCACGCCACCGCTGCCAAAGCTGCCGCCACTGGCGTGAATCATCCCTGTGCGAACGGGCAGAACAGCGTTAAATAAAAAGGCCTGACGCGGGAGTCGCACTTGAGCAAAAACGGCTACGGACCATCTTTGCACTCTCTTGGGAGCCCGGGAGGGGGGAGGGGGGGTGAGCTCGCTCAAGCTTCGCTCTGTCGGGGGGGAGGGGGGCTGACGCCATAGCTGACGCCATTCAGGCCCAGGAGGGGGGAGGGGGGGAGAGGAGGGGGTGACGCCATGGCTGACGTCATTCAGGCCCAGGAGGGAGGAGTCGGGGGGGGAGGGCTGACGCCATGGCTCACGCCATTCAGGCCCGGAAGGTGGGAGGGGACATCCCATGAGTTTGGCTGTTCACGCGAGATCGCCACTTTCGAATATCCGAAGGTTGCCCAAGCGAGTTCAACATCTCTATCTTATGATGATGTCTCGAGCGAGTGCTCTACGTTTAAACATCCTCCTCCTCCTCCTCCTCCTCCTCCTCCCTCCTCCTCCTCCTCCTCCTCTCCTCCTCCTCTCCTCCTCCTCCCCTCTTCCTCCTCCTCCCTCCTCCTCCTCCTTCCTCCTCCTCCTCTGCTCCTCCTCCTCCTGCTCCTCCTCCTCCTCCTCCTCCTCCTCCTCCGCTCGTCCTCCTCCTCCTCCTCCTCCTCCTCCCTCCTCCTCCTCCCCGTCCCCCCCCCCCGCCTACCACACACCGCGTCAAAGATCAAGGAAACGTGCTGCCAAGATTGCCGAGATGGCCTCAGGCGGTCTCCAAGACTGTCCCGAAGGTGGTCCAAGGGAGTCCCAGATTGTGCCACGTCGGCGCTTCCAGAAAGAGAGGGGGGGGCGGCGGTGACTCGCCGTAGGCGTCTTCGATAAAGTGTACAGCCCCTTGAAGCTGCTACATGCCGCCCCACGCCGCGCTGCCAGAATGAGTGGAGCAGCTGCTGAGTGACGGCCCAGCAGGTAAAAGGTTGCGCACGGGCTTGGGCTGCTGAAGTGGGCACGCAGCACCAAGAAGCTACTACAGCAGCGCAGCGCAGTACAGAGGCATACAGGGTCCCGAAGGGGTTGGCGGTGTGGCGTAAGCCATTATACGCTCTATATGTTTGTGGTTATCTCTCTCTCTCTCTTTACAAGCGAGGCCTCCTTTGATATGAACACACAGCCATGCATAATGTGAGCTGGGAAAAAGCAGGACGGATATGGACGGGGGATGGATCGCTAGAGCGTGTTAGGAAGGAGGAGCGGCAAAACTCGACGACGCAATTGAAGAGGGGGTTATTTCACGTTTCCAGCATCACAATACTGCAATCCGACGGAAAGGATCAAGAGAAATGTGAAATCGAATGTGCACGATCGAACAAGGTAAAGTCGTTTTAGCGAATGCTGACAAGTAAAGTGCATTCCTCAGCCCGGTAATTGCATCCACCACTTCACGCGCTGAATTGTGCGCTGCCCCAGGACTCGGCAGACCAGAAAATAATACCACACGTGGACGGTCAAAACCATCCTTGTCGCAATGTACCATCAGCTACGTTGCATCAAGCATGGCGATCAGCGGGCTCATAACAATATGCACGGTGTTAAGGGAGACAATGGCATCAAGAGACTGGAAATCGTTCTCGTGTTGGCGGATGTCTTACAGAGAAGGGGCGTGGTCGAGTGAAAACCCAGCAAGACTTCAACGGTTCTCATGTCCTGTGCCTACCCAAGTTCGTGGATCGATATATATATATATATATATATATATATATATATATTGTGTACATATACGCGTGTTGTTGTGCCACGCCATATGCCTTTGCCATGCCGCACATGTGCCCGGCAAAGACTGATCGCGCCCAGGCCCATCTGAAGAAGTCGGGGAGCTGCGCAGTAGCATCTGACAACTGTTAATAGCAAGAGGACCAAAAATCGCAATCCTCATAGTCGTGTTCTCCCTCGCACCACGCATAGTCTAGCAACCCGTGTGTGGTCCCCCCCCAAGCATGCACAAACACAACTCGATGCTTACGAGACAGTGCAACGACAGATCGTGAAATGCTTCGGGCCATCTTCAGGACTGGGTCCCTGCTCGTGCGCGAAATCATCCCATGAAGAAGACGCTGTTATGGTGTCTTGCGCGGCTCTTAGTGAACCGAACCCACCTGGATGCCGGTGGGAGCCTCATGGATTCGCCGAGCGCTCCACTACTGGCAAATTGCATACTCGCAAACGTCCGAAAAACACGTGTCTCCTTTGATGCAATTTATCGTAGATCCCCCGCAGGGGGATCCAGGCCATTTGCGAGTAGTTACTTTGCGAGTAGTGGAACGCGCTCGTCGGTGGATGCGTTCGGGAACCTCTCGGGGGGTCATTGGGACCTCTCGGGCCGTCTCAGCACTGCCTGTTGTAGTAGCTGTTTGTTTCTGGTCCCGGTCCGATTCGACAATGCCGGCACGCTCCCCATCTGACAGCACCTTTGTCTGCCGAGGGGAGCAGTAGCCATAGCGCATGCGTCGAAAAGGGTCTCTTTTCGAAGCCTACGCTGATGGAGCATGCGAGAGGCCTGGGTTACCACGCTCCCCTGGCCTCCCATGGATGCGAGCCAACAGATACATCGCCCGCCTGTGTTCGCGCTTCGCGCATGCAGGCTGACGGCAAGATCAACAGACTCTCACGATTAACAAGTGAGGCCGCGCATGGTCTATACACGGTCCGCAGCCGTGCCCACTGGCACGTTGAGGCGTACTGTGATGCCAAGTGCTGTCTGGTAGGGATTCTGCATTCTTTTGGCCTCCTCCTCCTCCTCCTCCTCAGCCTCCTCAGCCTCTCAGCCTCCACCTCCTCCTCCTCTCCTCATCCTCCTCCTCCTCCTCTCCTCGCCTCATCCCCTCCTCCTCCTTCTCCGCCTCCTCCTCCTCCTCCTCTCCTCTCTTCCTCCTCCTCCTCCTCTCCCCTCCTCCTCCTCCTCCCTCCTCCTCCTCCTCCTCCTCCTCCTCCTCCTCCTCCACCCCCCCCACAACCTCGAGGCGCTGGCCGCGCCGCGCATCGACCCCCCCTCCCCGCGGCTCTGTCGGCGCCAAGGCACCAGGCGTCGGGGACGACCAAGATGCTGTCCAAGATGGCCCAGGCAGGCCGCAGAGGCCGCCCGGATGGCGGAAGATGTCTCCAAGACAGCCCAAGATGGCTTCGGGACTGCCCGAGAGGCTGTCCAGACGGCTCCACGAGAAGTCTTGGCAGGTCCCAAGAGGCCAAAATCATGTATGTTCCTTAGGTTTGCTGAGGTTGTTGACACGTTTGCCCTTTCGGGCTTCCGTCGGCTCGAGATGGCCCGAAAAGGCCTCCAGGATGGCCCCACGACGGCCCTGACAGGGCCGCAAGCTGGCCCCAGAAATCTCCAGGGCGGCCTCGAGACATAGCCCCCCTGCACTGACTACCCACCAGACCACCCCAACCCAACCCGAGACACCAATTTCGGGTTGGCGGGTGTTTTTTTTTGAATGTTCCCGCGACCCCCCCCCACTGGAAATCGAGGATAATTTGGGGCCTTTCGGTTTGGGTTGGGGTGGTTTGGTGGGTGTGATGCACTGCACGGGAGGGCCCGGAGAAAGCCTCAATCTGACCCAAGAGGACCCTCAAGCTGGCCCACGACGGACCCGAGACGGCCTAAGATTCCCCCTCTGGACGGCGCAAGACGGCCCCCCAAAAAAAAAACCCAGACTCAAAAAAGGACTCCAGGAGAGCCCGGGAGACGGCCCCGAGGGCACGGAGACGGCCCCGAGGGACCCCCGAGGCTGCCCCACAGGAGCCAAGGCCAGCACCAAGTCAGTCCAAGTCATGTTCATGAGAGCTCGTCGAGAAATGAAGACAAAAAGGTGTCGCACGGGAAGGCTCTCCTCCGCGTTCTCCTCCTCGCCCTCTTTATTATCATAATCAATCACATTATCCCCACCGTCCTTGTCCTCGTCTTCATCATCACCATCGACGTCATAGCACCATCATCATCATCATCATCACCATCATCAACAACAACAACAATCATTTTACCCGACCGCTCAGTGTTCTCACCAGTGCCAGGGTTTTCATGCGACGCGAGACAATACCCCCACTTCGTGGGGGGGCAGTTCAAGCTCTACCAAATATCCCAACGACTCTTCGCGACCACCCAAACCCAGCTTCCCGCCCTATGACGTTGGGACACTTCACTTCGTGGCGTGCGGACGACCGTGGCTACTACACTGGCGTGGGGTACACACCCACAGAAATTGGTCACTTATTCGGGGCGCGCGTGTGCCCAGCATCCTGCAATTGTGACATACAATACATGACACAGACAGACAGAGAGAGAGACAGAGAGCAGACAGAGAGAGAGACAGAGAGAGCGGAGTTGGTCACATTTTTGGGGCAAGTTCCTGAGATCGTCGTGTTTTTTTGTTGGTCTTGCGCGCGCGAATGTCCACTTTACTTTTTTTTGCAAGGGAGTATTGAAATTTGATTATGTTAGAACAAGAAAAAGTAGCTCGCGCGAGCTCATGTAACATAAATGTTGAAAAACAATTGGTTTTGTGGGAGTCGGACAGCGCGCGCGGGATGAAATTTGGACATTTTTTTTTTGAAAAACCATTGGCTTTTTGATGTTTTTATGTTGAAATCGTTACGAAACCTAAGGTTCTGGAAGGATTTCGTCTTGCGCGCGCGAATGTCCACTTTACCTTAATTTTTGCAAGGGATTATTGAAATTTGATTATGTTAGAACAAGAAAAAGTAGCTCGCGCGAGCTCATGTAACATAAATGTTGAAAAACCATTGGTTTTGTGGGATTCGGACAGCGCGCGCGGAAGGAAATTTTGACAATTTTTTCTTAAAAAACCATTGGGTTTTTGATGTTTTTATGTTAAAATCGTTACGAAACCTAAGGTTTTGGAAGGATTTCGTCTTGCGCGCACGAATGTCCACTTTACCTTATTTTTTGCAAGGGATTCTTGCACTTTGATCAAGTAAGAACAAGAATTTCCATTTTCTATTGTTTTTTGCAAGGGAAAACGAGCGTCAACAAAAAAACGGATCCGGACCTCATCCACTTTTCTGAAGCTTTCGCGAAAAAATAATGAAAATGTAGCTGCGGCCTAGGCGCGGCGCAGAGGTCGCGCACCAGGGGTCCCAACAATCATAATTCTTTAGAAGGCAATAATGTTC